CTGGAAGAGTGTGAAGAAAAGGGCACCCTCCTACACTGTTGGTGGAAATGTAAGTTGGTAATGCCACTATGGAAAACAGTATGGAGGTTCCTCAGAAAACTAAAAATAGAATTACTATAGGATCCAGCAATCCCACTCCTGGGCATATATCTAGACAAAGCTCTAATCCAAAGAGATACATGCACCCCTATGTTCATAGCAGCACTATTCACAACAGCCAAGACATGGAAGCAACCTAAATATCCATTGACAGAGAAATGGATAAACGAGATGTGGGACATATATACAGTGAAATATTACTCAGCTATAAAAAAGAATGAAATAATGCCATTTGCAGCAACATGGATGCAACTAGAGATTATCATACTAAGTGAAGTAAGTCAGAAAGAGGACGACAAATACCATATGATATCACTTATATGTGGAATCTAAAATATGACATAAATGAACCTATCTGAAACAGAAACAGACCTGTGGTTGCCAAGGAGGAGGGGGTTGGGGCAGGGATGTAGTCAGAGGTTGGGTTAACAGATGTAAGCGTTTATGTATAGCATGGAGACCTATATTCAGTATCCTATGACAAACCATAATGGAAGAGAATATTAAAAACAGAATGTATATATATATGTATTAATGAATCACTTTGCTGTACAGCAGAAATTAACACAACATTGTAAATCAACTATACTTCAACTTTTAAAAAATTAAAGTAAAATAAAAACAAAGATAAATGCCTAATAATCTTACTGTCCTTCCTACTGAATATTTTACACATATATATTTTCCCTCATATTTAAACACCATATTTCTGAGGAATACGTGGACTTTTCCACTGATAATATTATAAGTACATCTTGATGTCTTCATTTTTCCTTCTACAGCATGGATTTTTAAATCTGTAAGGCATCTAATCATATGAATGGGCAAGAATTTATCTAACCAGTCTCTCATTGCATTTAGGATGATCTTAAAATGCAAATCTCCATGTATACCTCCGATTATTTTATTAGAATAATTTCCTAGAAATAGGATTACTGAGACAAAAGGAATAAAGATTTTTAAGGTTTTTGTTACATATTCAATAGCATTTTCTGACAGTATAAAAAAAATTCCAATCCAAGGCCAGGATGACGTGAATTTGGATATAACATGATGGGCTCCTGGCCAGTTCACCTCACTCGTTTCATTATCTTTGCAATAGCCTGACAATGCTTTCTAAATTATTTTTGCATCATATTAAAATGGACACTTAGTAGGGA